TTGCTGCAAATGGCAGAATGATATTCCACTATGTGTATGTGTGTATGTTTACCACAGTTTAAAAAATCTCTTCATCTGTTGCTGGACATCTTGTTGATTCCATATCTGGGCTAGTGTTAATCGTCCCAAGATGAATGTGAGAGTGTGGGTAACTCTTTGATGAGATGGTTTTATTTCTTTGCGTCATCCAGTGATAGGATGGCTGGATCATGTGGCATATCTATTTTGAGTTTTTTCGGGATCCTCCATACTGTTCTTCTTAATGGATGTACTAATTTGTATTCCCTCACATTCAGATTCTGTTTTCTTTACATTCTCCACAGCATTTGTCATTTTTTTTAATAGGCATGCTTACCATGGTGAGGTAATATCTTACTGTAGTGTAGATGTGCATTTTTCTGATTATTAGTGCTATTGAGCGTTTATTCATGTTTGTTGCCATTTGCATTACTCCTTTGAGAAATGTTGGTTCATACAGTTTGCCCACTTTTAAATGGGATTTTTTTTTTCTGTTGAGTATTTGGGATCCTTGTATGTTCTTGGTAGTAATCAGATAAATGGTGTGAAATATTTTCTCCCATTCTACTGGTTGTCTCTTCACCTTAATGAATCCGATTTGCTATAATCCCATCTGTCTAATTTTGTTGCCTATGCTTTTAAGATTTTATAAACACAACATAATATTAAATAATATTGGGCCATACATACAAAACAAAGCTCTCAATATTATTAAATATATCTATTCAAATAAAAGAATATTTTATTTTTGATCCAAAAATATTTCAAGTGCTTTTTAAAAGAAGACCATTTATTCTGGAATCTTGGATGAAACATAGTTTAGCTACTAATTTTATTACTATTTCTGCAATTAAAATTCAATCTTCATTTCTTGCTCTGTACATTAAAATAAAGATGGTGACATAAGGGATGATAGTTGCACTTTAAGGATTTTGTAATATACAATGCCAGATTAAAACCAGAACTGTGGTAAGAAAGAGTTTGTCATTTTTTTTTATCTTTTGAGTGTTGTGTCTTTATGTGAATAAACAATGTAGTTTTATCATCCATAGTAATATTTGCTGAAAGTAAGGAAATTTTTCAAGGAATTTGGTATTTTCTTTGTTCTATCATATTTGAAACCTTTTAATAACTATGATGTCAGGGCCAGTGCTGTGGCATAGTGGGTAGAGCCACGACTTACAGTGCTGGCATCCTTTATGGGCACCGGTTCAAGTCCCTGCTGCTCCACTTCTGCTCCAGCTCTCTGCTGTGGCCGGGAAAACAGTGGATGAAGGTCCAAGCCTTTGGGCTCCTGTATCCACATGTGAGACACAAAAGAAGCTCCTGGCTCCTGGCTTCAGATATATGTAGCTTTGGCCATTGTGGCCAATTGGAGAGTGGACCAGCGGATGGAAGACCTCTCTCTGCTTCTGCCTCTGTCTCTGCCTCTGCCTCTCTGTAACTCTGACTTTAAAATAAATAAATAAATCTTTAAAAAATTTAAAAAAAATTATGGTGTCAAGAAAAGTGAGGCCAAAAACGCTTGCTGACAATAAAGAGGCACCCAGCTAACTGCATGAACTCTATGGAATATAAAATAAAAGATCTGCCAAGAACAACCTTCGACAAGTGTAATGCACTTGGCTTGTTACCCAGTTATAGATAGACTTGTCACTTAAAAAAAGATCATACATAAACTCTGCTTACAAATTTAGAGATAGGGAAATGGGGAATGTAGGTTTATGAATGTAGTGAAAATGGTAGGGGCCACATTAAAATTTAGGAAATGACATGAAGTTGGTTTAGCCTGGCCAGCATTGTGCATTAGTTTTGTTATTCCATCATCTGCAGATTACTCCATTATTTCAGTATTATTTATCCTGAGTATGCTGTTAGCAAAGAGGCAGGGAATTGTTGAACACGTTAGTTATTCTGAAGGAGCTGTTTAATTTCAAGAGATTAAGAAAAGGAAAGTCTATTTATTTCAGGATACCAGGGAAAAATGTATTTATTAGTCAAAGATAATTCTGGATCAGAAAAATAGGGCCAAATAACAAAGAGTCTAAAATAGTAGTCCTTCTTCTTTGATTGTTTGCTTTGGTGATTTATATATTCTCTTTTACAATTCTTAGTTGCTTTCCCTATGATTTGAGGAAAAAAATGCCGTCATGCTGCAATTTTTCCTACAGTTTTGGTGTTTTAATGAATTTGAATGGCATAATTAAATGAAGGATTCCTGTTTTAAAATTTTCTGATTAAGTACTACAGACACATACTCTCTCCATAATATAAATTTTTTGAAGTAGAATTGTGGGTTTAAAGACTATGTGCATTTTGATGGAAAGAGTCAAAGTGTCCTCTAAAGGGGCTGTACCAATTTTACATTCCATGGCAGATCCTTTGAGTTTTGATGTCTGCTTTTGATATTCAAATAAAGATTGTGATTAGTAGAATAATGATTGCATTGACAAGTCCATATAAATATATACTGAAATATGAAAGTACCTGTGTCCTCCCAGCATACTACACACTGAGTAAGTAGCCTCAGGTTTATAAACCTTGCTCCAGTGGTAGGGGGAAAATACAGTTTCTTTGATTCTGAGTAAAATTTCAAATTAGTTCAAGTCTCTTGTCTGTAACTTCTTTCTGTACTCAATTCATCTGTAGATGGACACATTTTGAGAAAAATATTTTGTAATCTGCTTCATAATGGCTTCTCTGAAAAAGAGAGTCTTCAAATGTATAACCTAGAAATTTGAAAGCATATTACCACAATGATAGAACTCTTTCAGGGATTCCCCTCAGTACATAGAAGTATAGGTCGCAGTCGGTGTATCAGTGCCTAATACTTAGTAGCTGTTAAGCTAGCAAATAAAAACAAGGAAAAATTAGCAGCCTTGGAAACAAATTAAACTTTATTACAAATAATTAGATGTCAGTTGTTACTTAATATGTGTTCGAGTCAAGGAAATTGAAGAGATAGAATAGAATAGGGATTAATGATGTCTTATCTTGGTCATAAATAAACATCATTATTTGTTCAGTAGAACATTACTATAAAACTCATGAATGTTTAAAGAAAAGGACAATGTCGCTGTTTTTCTATGATGTTTTCTATAGCAGTATAAATATTCATGACAGTGCATATCAGTTCAGGTTATCTGTGTGAATGTAAAATTTCATATAACTGGCCACTTAGTGTTCATTGGATCATGCTTTTGAATATGAATTTTCTGCTATCTCAGATGCACTATGGATCTGACCCAGCTCATGAATATTCACACACACGCAACTGATCTTTCTGAAAGTAATCACATCCATAAAGATGAATATCTTGGTAGTTCTTCAGTAATGAGAACCGCATCAAGACGCTGGTCCCAGAACAGTTCCCCAGTCTCCTTGTTTTCGCTATTTCTCTTTTTTGATTTTTTTTTGTCAGTGCTACAAAGTTTGAAATATAAACACCTAACGCTGTGCATGATTTAGCCATGGTTGCATTTGTTTGCTCTATCTGTTATAGGCGCACAGAAAAGAGTAGAACAAAGATAAGCAGCGTCTCTAATCTAAGCACATTTCCCCTGTTCCAGTTCTGCCAGTTTCTCACATGCAGTACTGCCCAAGCTGTTGGGATGATGATACCTATAAAGGATAAAGGATAAAAGGGGGAGGGGGGAGGAAACATGGTTTCTGTGTGATTTTTTCAGAAAGTTTCATGTATTTATTTATTTGAAAAGCAGAGCAAAAGAGATTAAGAGAGATAGATAGATTTTCCATCTGTTGGTTCAATGCTCACATGCCCGCAAGTGCCAGAACTGGGTAAAGGTAAAGCCAGGAGCCCAGAATTCAACCCAAATCTCCCACATGCGCTGTGGGACCCAAGTACCAGCACCCATCAGAAAGAATAGCATTCAGGACTTGAAACTGACACTCTTGTGCTAATTCCAGCATCCCAAACAGCAGCTTAATCACTATGCCACAAGCCCACCCCTCTGACTGCTTTTTGAGTAAAGGGAAAATTATTTTCTAAGCCAACTACATATCTCATATGTTAGACTTGGGATTCTATGATCATGGAGTCCCGTAATTAAAATCGTATATAATTTTAACCCTTGTGGAATCTCATATCATTATCGCTTCTCCTTCATGGTAATGAATAACGTATGTTTGCAAAAACTGTCCAGTATCAGTGGGTAATTTTAATTAGATATCAAAATCAACCACCTGGTGCTTATTAGCACCCTACTTTAATTATGAATTAGGAAAAGAAAATAATAAAATGATTATAAAATAAAAAAGTAAAATAAAAACCGCTGTTTATAAAGAGAGAGTACCAGATAGTTCCTCTTTGTATCACTCATGTTGTCAAGCCCTGGAATGAATTTTGCCTCTTATCAAACTATGTGCATTTTTTGTTGTTGTGTAAGCTTAATGGTAAAGCTCAATGGTAAAGCATTTGTTTATTTTTAACTCTGGCAACATACCAGTTTATGTTTGAGTACCCCAGGGGAGCAGCAATACTTGGGAGCTGTGATCTTTCAACTGTGCCCTGAGGTGATCTGTGGGTCTCCTCAGCACTGCCACTGAGGAGGAGGAGGAGGAGGAAAACCAACCCGCCCCCTGCTCTGTTGGATGTGTCCTAGTGGTTCTCAGCCTAGAGCAGTTTTCCCTGCAGAGGCCATTTGACACAAATCTGGAGACGTTTTTGTTTGTCACTACTGACGAGATGGCACTGGGATGTGTTGGTTAGAGGCCAGAGATGGTGCTCAAGTTCCCATAATGCACGACAAAAACACTACCCAGCCAAAAATGTCATAGGCATATTAAATTCTGTTAGAAGAAAGAATCCCTGCTCTACAGTCTTTTGATAACCACTATATGAGAGGACTTTCGCAGATAAAGCAGTGAAAAATGTATGCTATTATTTTGTAAATAGATGAAGACAGATTCAGTAATTAATTATACATTTGGATTCATTGATTCTTCTGTCTTCTTTCTGTTAGCGACAATCGTGTTAAACGAACTCAACTGGACAAGTGCCTTAGATGACGTTTTCAAAAAAAATCGAGAGGAAGACCCTTCACTGTTGTGGCAGGTGTTTGGCAGTGCCACTGGCCTGGCCCGGTATTACCCAGGTAAGTGCTCAGCGATTCCACAGCCATCCAGTGAGACGTAAGTACCAGCTTCCATGTTCCCTGAGAATCCTGTCACCTTCTCCTATGTTTTAAGATGGTGATTATTTCACACACCTTTCCTAAGGCACAGATATCCCTTCCTACATGGCTCCGTATTGACCAAAATCACTCTAAACTGAAACCCCTAAGTAGCAGCTGGGCTGGTTGGTACCTGGAATTAAGCCAGGAGGCAGTGACTCCATGAACAGGTCTCCTCAGGAGTGCGTTTGGAGCAGGAAGTCACCATGGATCCTGTAACAGTTCTGAGATACAGGCCCAGCTGCCCAACCTGAATCCAACTGTGCGTCACAGTAGAGGACTGGATAGAGTTTTAGAAACTAATTGAAACATTTCTCTCCAGGTTTTAAAGGTGCTTGAAATTTATAACAAAAGTACTCATGGTTTTCTTTAGTCAGTGCATATGGATTTGTTAAAATGAGTAAGACAGGAAATAAAAGGAAATCACAAGAAAAATAGAGCTTTCTTGTGTGCGTCATGTTGTATTAATTCTGGGGGCATTCACTGATCATATATATATATATATACATTCAATGAAGAAGAATGTATTTTATAAATTAATAATTTTAAAAGCTTTCAGTAAAGTTCCTATATAGGAGGATGCAGAGAAATAAATAGTAACTTCTAAAACACAGATGAAAAATTAATCACATGTGCATCCTGAGAACCTATTGAAAACACTTAAGTGGAAAGTCTGTTGGCATTTTTAACTTCTCCATATTTTAGAACAAGTTGACCAACACAAAATGCACTTTCCTTTTCAAAGGCATGACCCAAGTTATGGGTTATATAGTAGACAATTAGGCATTAAATGCCCACAATATAAATTAAAACAGGAGAGTTCTTGAAGCTTAAATTTTTTAAACATGTGTAACAAGTTGAACTGTTCAAAATAAAAAGTCACAGCTGTAAAAATGGATGAACTGAATATTAGAAGGGGGCTTAGTATTCAAAGACCAATGGGCATCATCTGGGTGAATAGTTCTTAAATTAAGTAAAGACCATAAAACTAGATGGTAGCAAATGCCAGATGGTGAGATATGCAGTAAGTATTATTTGTAGAAATCCAGTGTTCCAGGAAAGTCCAAATTTATATTAAATACTGAAAAAACAAGTGAGATATAATACATCAATATTAATATATGAAATGGGGAACTATCACATATCACATGTTATAGCAGTGAGATTTTTTTCCTTATATAAATATATTTGCAACAAAATGGTGCAACTGGAGATCTATATGCTGAATGAAATAAGCCAGACCTGGAAGGACAAATATCACATTTTCTCTTATTTACAGAAGTGAATAGAGACAGAGTATAAAAATTGTGTGGATGTCATATCATTTGGTACTTAGTCATAAATATTGCCTAACTGAATGATACCATGTAAATGACAATATACTCTTCCACCTTTAAAAAAAAAAAGATGGAGAAGAGGGAAGAATGAGGACTCTTGTGGTACTAGTAATGTTTTATTCATTTGGGTGTTGGTTATATGTTTGTTCAGAGGATCAAAAATTATTTATCTGTACACTTATACGAATTGCTTGGTATGTATACTGTATTTCCATAATATTAAAAAATAATATTCACTATAATACTCTCACATTACTTTATTAACATGTTAAATTTTTAATAATTGTTTTACTTATTTGAAGGGCAGAATAACAGAGGGACAGGCAGAGAGAAAGGGAGAGGGAGAAAGAGAGTGATCTTTCATCTGCTGGTTCACTCTCCAAATGCCCTCAACAGCCATGGCTGGGCCAGGCTGAAGCTTGGAGCTGGGAACTCAATCTGGATCTCCCACATGGGTAGCAGGGACCCAAGTACTTGAGCCATCATCTGGTGCTTTCCCAGGTGCATTAGAAGGGAGCTGAATCAGAGACAGAGCAGCTAGGGGTTGAGCCAGCACTGTAATATCGGATGCCAGTGTCACAAGTAGGGACTTAATCCTCCATGCCAGAATGCTGTTCCCAGTGTTAAATTTTATGTATCAGGAAACTAAATATTTTGATATATATGATAAGACAAAGGAGAAAAGCAACACTATCCATGTATATAATAAAAGTGCATCAGGTCTTAGAAAACATGAGTACAGTTATAAATTATAGGAAGTAGACACCTTATATCCTATCGAGTAATACAGCAAAGAGAAGTTAATACAACAAAGAGAAGACATTTAGCAGTGACTTAGAGATTTTAAGTCTTTTAAGATGTATTACCTTGGGGCAAGTATTGTGACACGGTGGGTTCAGCCCCAGCAAGGAACACCTGCGTCTGAGATCCTGGGCTGACTCTGCCTTCCACTCCAGCTCCCTACTGATTGCACAGCCAAGGTGGCAAGAGGCAATGGCTCAAGTACTTGGGTTCCTGCCGCTCCTGTCGCAGGCCTGAATGGGGTCCCTGGCTCCTGGTTTCAGCCCGGCCCAGGCCAACATGTTGCAGGCATTTGGGGACTGAACCAGCAAATGAAAGATCTCTGCCTGTCTTTTGTCGCTCTGCCTTTCAGACAAATAAAAAGGAATAAACAGTGGAAAATACATTACTTCATCACAAAACTCAGCACAAACAATTAAACGAATATGTGAGAGCAAATTAGGATAAGGATGAGAAACCAGAGCCCAGGACCTGAGAGAAATTGGTGATGCAGGAAAAGAAAGAGAAGAGTTTCAGAAGAGACAGGAAGAGGGGAGGGAGGACGCACGGGCCCGGCAGGAAAGGCATGCCGTGGTACACCCAGCTTTTAAACGTGGCTCTTCTACAAGTTGCACTAAGTAACTTTCAGCTGACTAGTGAATCATCTTCTGAACCTCCCTTCCTGTTAAATGCAAAGTCACACACGGCAGCTTTAATTTTTCTCAAGGGTCCTGACATGTTCACCTCCTCTTGGAAAGATCTTGAGATTTTTAATTTCCCTGAATGCAGGTGGTCCTGCTCTGAGCATTAGCTGTGGGAGCAGCCCTGCCCTGACCCACAATGCCCTAGTTTCCAGTAACAGTTTAGCAAGACGCATGCAGGGACTGGAGAACTGTGACTGAGTTCATTTCCCTGCTGGAGGAGGTTCTTTAAAGACGGCTTATTTGATTAGGAAGGACTGCACTGATGCAGTTTTGGTTTCAGGTGACCTGTTGAAGAGTTCCTCTTTAAGACAAGATGGTACAATAGATCAAGTCTCTTTCTCGAAGCCATTAAGACGCTGTTATCATCTTAAAACTGAACCACTGTGTTTCTGTGTATGCCAAGGCCTATTTTCAGTACACTGGACACTTTCCCCAAATATAAAGAGTTTTTTAAAATCATAGGACTTCTTTCTTAATTCTTCTTAAATTGAAAGAAAGCAGAGAAGAGGGGAGGAGAAAGTTCTTCCATGTGCTGGCTCATTCTTCAAATGCTGGCAATGGTTGGGGCTTAACCAGACAAAAGCCAGGGGGTTGGAACTGTGACTCAAACACAGGCACTCCCATCTGGGGTCACGGTCATCCCAGCCAGCGTTTTGACTGCTATGTCAAATGCCTGTCCCAAATAATATGACTTCAAAAAAATTTCTCAGTTGACTGCATTTCCTGTCTGATTTTAGCCTTTTGACTCAAGTCTAAATAAGATAAATTGCCTCTTTGGTCCTGCTTATTATCTGTTAAATCAGAGATTTTAAACTTTTGGTCCTCCTAATTATCTGTTAAGTCAAAGATTTTAAATCACAATCTTTAAATATTGTTAATCATCATAACCAAGACTGGAAACAGAAAATATGAGGGTACTTCAAAAGGTTCACAAAGAATGGAATTAAAAGAGAAACTTATTTTGGCGTGAAATATTTTAAAATCTGTATTTCTAAGAGGTCATCCAAAAAGTCTATGGAAAATGCATATTGTGGGAAAAAAAAGTATGCATGACTTTCAAAAATGTTTACACCAAAATATATATTTTTTAATTCCTTTTTCATAAGTGCTTAATGTACCCTCACATGTTCCTTCTTTTTAGTACATTGGATTTTTCACAGGTAAGACTCGGCTTTTAAGCTAGTATTTTACTGCTTACCCATGGGACCAGAGTAGGTCTACTAAACTTCTCAGGTCTTATTCATCAGATCCAAAAAATGGGAACCCTAGTTGCTCCTCCGTTTACCTGCTGCAGGTTATTTTGAACAATGAGATAATATGTCAGAAAGTACTTTGGAAATGCAAAACAGTAAGCATTGCTACAACTGTGCATATCCACTAGATGAATTTTGCCTATGTCTAGTTTTCTCTTCATCAGTAACATTAAAGAACATAATTGGAGTTACAGTCAGCTAACAGGCAAGCTGAAGTAGAAATGTAGAAGATCTTAAGATGTTACACTATAATATGAGGCAGTAATATCACAAATTGGAGTTGTGCAGAACAGGTTGGTTTTAGCTTATGGCACAGTTCACTTCTCTAAATTTACCAGAAAAAGTAAAGGGGCCAACCTAAAGTTAGTTTTCAGATGAACGGTGAAGAACTTTTTAATGTAAATATGACTCATGCAATATTTTGGGTATACTTTTACAAAATAAGTATTTGCTTCATATATTTTACTTTTACTTTTTTCAACTTTATTTATTTATTTGAAAGGCAGTTAGAGAAAGGGAGAGACCAATGGAGATCTTCCATCCACTGGTCCACTCCCCAAATGACCACAACAGTCTGGGCTGGCCCAGGCTGAAGACAGCAGCCAGGAGCTTCTTCTGGGTCTCCCACATGGGTGGCAGGACCCGAGCACTTAGGCCATCTTCTGCTGCTTCGCCAGGTGCATGAGCAGGGAGCTAGATCAGAAGTGGTGCTGCTGGAACGTGAACTGCAGCCCATATGGGATGCTGGTGCAGGCAGCAGCTTAACCTACTATGCCACAAGGCCTGCCCCATGCTTTATATCAAAATGTGAACTTAATTATTGATATTCGGACATTTTGGTTTATTCT